TATTCTAGTTTTAGTCACTGTTTTAACGTAAGGACATCTAGCTGTTCTAGTTTTAGTCGCTGTTTTAACGTAAGGACATCTAGCTATTCTAGTTTTAGTCAATGTTTTCACGTAGGGACATCTAGTTATTCTAGTTTTAGTCACTGTTTTAACGTAAGGACATCTAGCTGTTCTAAGAAGAATATGCCAGTAAGAGGAACTAGATGAAATCTAATGCTTGTCTATCACACGTACTATTTTTTGACATTACTTAACCTCTGAACCCCAACATTACCTGACTTGTAGAATAATATGTGGTCAGTTTTTCCTTTATATTTGCTACAGCCGAGTCTTGGCTTGATCATCTGTTTAATATTTAACTGTTTGTTCCCTTGCTCCCATGTTACTCAGAAAATTACTTCCAAATCTTCTCCAAATCATGAGGGGCCTGGCATGGCCAGGTGGTTAAGGCACTCGACTCGCAATCTGAGGGTCGCGGGTTCGAATCCCCGTCACACCAAACATGCTCGCCCTTTCAGCCGTGGGGGTGTTATAATGTGACAGTCAATCCCACTATTCGTTGGTAAAAGAGTAGCCCAAGAGTTGGTGGTGGGTGGTGATGACTAGCTGCCTTCCCTCTAGTCTTACACTGCTAAATTAGGGACGGCTAGCGCAGATAGCCCTCGTGTAGCTTTGCGCGAAATTCAAAAACAAACAAACACCAAATCATCAGACCAAAAACCTGATTTCTTTACATACGTATCACGGGTATCTTACAAAGCACACCATATACAGTGTTTGGACTTTGTGAAAAAGTTTTCTTTAGGTTATTTCGTAAATTCAGCGTCTTACAATCATTTTTATATAGAACAGTTTTTAAGTCATTAGTTAACTTCAATTTATTTAGAGTAAGACCAGATCGTGCTTCTTTACGAACTCGTAATAACGTTTGCAGTAAAAAAAAGACATTTTCTTACTTTTTTTGTAACACATATGATAACAACTTGCTAAAAAATGATAATGCTAACAAGAGTGATGAAATATACGACGTATTCTTACAATCTTTGTCTGTTTTAATATATCTTAAAACTTAAACAAACTGATAGAACGGAATCGTATAAAAGACACTAGGCTAGTACTCGCGGAATCGTATAAAAGACACTAGGCTAGTACTCGCGGAATCGTATAAAAGACACTAGGCTAGTACTCGCTGGACGCTTTGAAACCTTGTTCAGTTTATGTCGGAGTTGCTAAAGTAAAGTTTACTTTCCTGGTTTACTATAAGTTAATAACTCTAATTATTTTAGCACAATGTGTTTGAGGCAAAGTTAGTCCTTAAACAAAATCGGATGATGGGTAAAAAAAAATGTGACATTCAATAAAAAAAAACAAGTCCATCTGTCAACCCTAAAGAAAAAAAATAACACGTTTATACATGCTACACAGAGTGGAGCAATTATAATTTCTTTCATTCATATAATTTAGTTACCAAACCAGAATGATAACAAAAGTCCTTCCCCCTCTTTACTGATCTCTCTCTTCTACATAAAACAAAACATAATTGGCTTAAGCAGAAATTTGCAGAATAGGCTATTTGCATCGTGTTTAATGTAGGAATCGAACTCCGAGCCCCGCCGACCCACATAGTGGCTTAGCGATGCTAAAAATCGGGTTTTGATACACGTGTTGGATATTGTGTAGCTTTGCACTTAACAACAACCAAACAGCTAACAAAAAAAACGAACTCCGAATTTTAGCGTTAGTAGCCCTCGAGCTTACAGCTGAGCCACTAGGAGGACAACAACAACAAAAACTGTTGTAATCATTGTTGGTGTATTTGTAATGATAGAAGTTTCAACACCGAATATTTATATTATTTTCTGACAATATGTTTTTGTTTTTTTTCTGTAAAATTTCTCCCTTAACTTCCACCATTTGACTTTAATATAATTAAAAGAATGTCAAATTTATTGAAACATGGCACGAAATAGATAATATTAACCAAAAGTGACAACGTTTTCTACAAACAACTCTGGACTTTAGAAACGGTACATGATGATGAAGTAAAACACTTATTGCTAAATATTCAGTAAATTTGTTAATAATTTTGTTTAAAAATCATGATGATGTTGCACAGCAAATACACTAGTACTGAATGTAGAAGCCATTGTTGAGCATATGAATTAAATTACGTTACTTTATCAATGATAACCAGGGTGCAATTTGTCAGCTTTTTACTGGGGGTGGGAGGGTGGATTAAATAGATAGATAACAAAGGAAACAGTGTGGTAAGCTTTGAGGAACCCCTAAGTTATTTATTTAATTATACTGACTAAATTTTTATGAATCACTCATTTGCCAATGTTGAGTGTGTGTGTTTATCTCGTTGTGCAAGTCTTGTATACGAAATTAGATGTATTTGCGCAAGGTCCCCGAAAGTGTTCTGTTTCAAGAGTAAATAGAACCAAAATTAAAAGTAACAAATGTTTTTATTTCTTGCTTTTTGAACTTCGTATGTCATGCTGTATTGTAGCCTACATAGTGCATAATTCTTCTCGTGATTCATGGCATACGTACGTTTTATTGACTTCACGACAGTGTAAATTGCAACGTTAAGCGTCCCTTATGTGACATAATTTTTTGTGTCTACTGACTGACTGACAGACAAAATACTACTTTATAGTGGTGCGAGTGGTTAAAGCAGGTGACCCCTCCAGGGGGCTTTCGGTTCCCTTTTGGAGTCAGGAACAATCCTTCACCCCATCAGAGGAACCTAAGATATATGGAATAGTTGTATCTTGAGCATAGTATAAGATTTAGTGAAAGATACGACACATGATTTAGATGTGTCGAATGAATCGTTTCGTATCCTTAGCTATACCATGCAAAATCATGTCAACATGATTGATGAAGAAAAAGTCACTCTGCTAGACCATGATAATTATATAAATATCTTTGATGAAAAATACCTTAACAGAATAATGATGAAAAGCCACTCTTCTATAACATGAAAATCATGTAAACATGTTAATTGAAGAATACTTTAACAGCGTGATCATGAGAAGTCACACTGAAGAATGTATTAACATATATTTTAACTGAAATTTCATGATTTGGGGGGTTTGGGTTTACAAAGAGGGTTTAATATGTTTAAGAAGGGGTTGAAAGTAAAATATTTAAATATGTATGTTGAGGTTGCAAAATAGCCCATAGTGTACCAAACTTGCACTGTGTGAATATTAAGCAGACAGTTCTGAAACGTTTTACCAAACTTGCACTGTGTGAACATTAAGCAGATAATTTTAAAACGTTATACCAAACTTGCACTGTGTGAACATTAAATAGTTATTCCTGAAATGTTCTACCAAACTTGTGTTGTGTGAACGTGAAGCCGGCAGTTTTGAAACGTTCTAACAAACTTGCACGTGGGAACGTTAAGCAGACAGTTTTGAA